AGTAGTTTTGACCCAGAAAGCGAAATTTGAATATCAGACACTTAGGTCGGAGGCAAAATGAGGAAGAACGCTCATTTGTACATCATAATAGACAGAAATAAATGGCCTTTATAGAAAGTGAACCATGGATGAGGAATTGTTGGCAGTTTTCTCAAAAAATGCTTGAATTCCAGAAGTTTTAGATTTGCACTTGAACATGACGCTGCTTTTTTCGAGGTTTCTCAAGAACCATTTGAGGCACAGAATTCGTTTTAGCATCGTTGGATAGAGAATTGAATGGGGGGTCATGTGGTGGAAAGGTTGTCTGGTCTGGATTGTTTTCTCCGGAGTATTGGCCACATTTCTCGAGATTTAATTCCAATCCAATCTCCATTGCTGCCTCTTTTAGTGCTGTTGTCATCGTCTTAAGTATCGCTTTAGTAGGAGCATGGCACTTGATGTCGTCCATAAATGCTAGGATGTGGTGTCGACCTTTTGATTTTTTTCATTATGTCTGTGTTGTTTTTCACGTGATTTATGATCGGTGAAGTCAGCAGTAAAAAAAGTAATGAGCTCATTAAGTCCCCTTGAAGTAGGCCTCTCCTTACTGGCATTAGAGTTGTTCTCAGGTGGTTGATTTGGATTCTTGTTGACCAAAGTTTGATGCAGGTTTTTATCGATTTTTTTTTATCACCTCATGGATAGATAAGGCGTCGATGAGGCGTTTGAGGCAGCTGTGGTGAACCGAGTCGTACGCTTTTCTGAAGTCGTACCAGGCTGAATAGTTGGCGGTCCGTCGCGTCCAGCTTCATACTGGGGATGTCCATTATTATCTGTATTTCCTGTTATGTATTTACCTTAGCAAACCAATAAGAATATTTAAAAAAAAGGTTCGATTCCCAGCCGAAGAGAATTTCTTTTCACACATAATCAAACGTAACTATCTATCTATGCTGAATAGTGAGTAAACCATAGAACAAGGCTCATAGTAGATTCAAAGTTCGCAAGTCATTGCGGAGCGGAAGACTTCACTCAACATTGGTCCGATATGGTCTCTTCTACTTCATGCTAAATAGCATATAAGTCTTCGGTAGTATAGTGGTAAGTATCCCCGCCTGTCACGCGGGAGACCCGGGTTCGATTCCCGGCAATATCCCCCCAATCGTCATTAAGCATCTCCCCAATAAACTGGTACACCATTACACTATTCTGTTTAACAACTGCCTTAACAACAGGTACTTTCCCAGCA